TGAAGTTCCTTACATTTCATAAAGTTTTGTTGTATTAACATTTCAGGATGTATTGGACCTTGAGAATTGATTAGAGTAACCCCACATTTTAAAGCCCTCCGTTTAAGTCTGATTATTGGAGCACGCTAATTGGATTAATGTTTAACAGTGGCCATCCTACGAATTCACTTAGGAAGTTGGGAAATGGCAATTTGATTCTTCTTTACTGGCCTGGCCTTATTGTACAATTAATTAAGACCTGCTTAAAAATAGCTCTCAGAATAGGGCCAAGAAAGAGAAAGCCTTTCTTCCTTTTTTTTCTCTTTTTTGTTAATCCTCACATGAAGATATTTTCCCATTGATTTTTAGGGAGAGTGGAAGAGAGAAAGACAGAAATATCATGTGAGAGAAATACATCAAATGGTTGCCTCCTGTATGAGCCCCAACCAGGGCCTAGCCCGGGAAGGAGCCTGTAACCAAGGTATGTGCCCTTGACTAGAATCAAACTCAGGACCCTTTGGTCTGCAAGCTGACACTCTATTCTTTGAGCCAAACAAGCTAGGGCGGGAAAGCCTTTTAAATAGTGCACAGGCATTAGTGAATTCATTTTCATGGCTAAAATAGCTACTTTTACCCAATTCGGATTAATGAGATCTGATTTTATGTTTATTTCTGGCTAAAGCACTAATATTATACTAAGGAACAACTCATTTTCTTAACTGTATTCTGGATTTTCAAAGTTGTTAGGTGATTTTATTTTATTTTATTTTAAATATGTTTTTATTTCAGAGCGGAGGGAGAGAGAAAAAGATAGAAACATCAATGATGAGAATCGTTGATTGGCTGCCTCCTGCATGCCCCCTTTGAGAACTGAGCCTGTAACCAGGGTATGTGCTCTTGACCAGAATTGAACCTGGACCCTTCCGTCCACAGACTCTGGTCACACTTTATCCAATGAGCCAAACCAGCTAGGGCTTAAAGTTATTAGGTACTTTTAAAGAACTGACCTTGTATAGTCAGTTCATGTGCAGTTCATTTTTTATTTTTTTTATTTCCTCTAATTATGATTTTTACATAGAAAGGCATGAAACATGTCTACAGTGTAAAGAATAATTATAATGTTAGCACTTAGGTAATCACTGCTCAGATCCATGGAATACTATGCAGCTGTAAAAAAGAGGGATCTCTTACCCTCTGAGATGGCATGGAGGGACCTAGAGAGTATTAAGCTGAGTGAAATATATGAGCCAGTTAGAGAAAGACAAGTATCACATGACCTCACTCATATGTGGAGTCTAATGAACAAAATAAACTGACAAACAAAACAGGTCCAGAGACATGGAAGCATGCAACAGATTGAGAATCCTCTGAGGGAAGGAGGCACAAGAGATCAATTGAATTTCTATGAAAATATGCATAAACCATGGACACAGACAATAGTGGGATGAAGGCCTGGGGAGGGGATGGGAATGGGGAGAAGGGAGGTCAATTGGGGGAAAAGGGGACATCTGCAATACTTTCAACAATAAAGATAATTAAAAAAATGATAATAGCCAACATGAAAAATTTTCAGTTTGGTCATAAACTGGCTATAAGTTACATAATGTTTGTTGATTAAATGGATGAAGAGAATATGTTAAACAACTGCTATATGCAACTGCTAACATAGTACATAATGAAAGTGACTCAATACATGATGTCAACTTAAAAAAGAAAAGAAAAATTACAAGCAGTCCAGAAGCCCCACCCTTACCTGTGCTCCATCCAGATGACAACCCTCTCTCTTTCTCTGGGTAGCCACTGTTTTTACTTTCATCACTTTCTTGCTTCTCTTTGTAATATAGTCACTTACATTTGTATCCTATACAAAAACAATGTAATTTAGGTTTGCCTGGTTTTGCTTGTATGAAAAGAATCATGCTATGTACCCTTTTAGGTCTGGGGATTTCAGTCAGTGTTAATATTTGTGAGATTTTATCTGAGTTATTGCTATGCAGTGCATTAAAAAAAAAAAAAAGCTTTTTCTGTATTTACCTCTCTTCCTTTTTTACTAAGGATCCCTGTAACTCTAAATGCTTTTGGAGATTTCTACTTTGCCTTCTTGGATTTTCTGCTAAATGTGGTCTGAAGACTAAAACTTAAAGTTTTCATTAAAAAAAAAATTTTATTGTGGTAACATGGTTTATAACATTATAAAAGTTTCAGGAGTACAACATTATAATTCGATAGCTGTATGTCCTACTGCGTGCTCACCACCAAAAACCTAGTTTCCATCCATCACCATATATTTGACCCTCTTGACCCATTTTTGCCCTCCCCCTTCCCCTCTCCTCTGGTAACCAGCAGTCTGTTCTCTGTATCTATGAGTTTGTTTTCGTTTTGTGTGTTCATTTATTTTGTTTCATTTTATATTCTACACGTAAGTGATAGCATGTGATTTTTGTCCTTCCTTGAGGGTAGTGCACTAAGTGAAATAAATCAGATGGAAATGCACCCTAGTTTTCTGAACTGCCCTGACCTGACTGCCCCTACTCTGATGGCTTTTGTTTTATGAGACTACATCTTTAAGGCTGCTGTGCTCGGTTAAAAAATCTTCCTTTCTCCAAGGCTGGTCCAAGGGTCTGGTCACGTGATTCCAACAGTGACATCACACTCTGACTGCCGGGGAACACTGGTGGTTCTTTAGGTGGTGTTTGTTCCTGTGAAAGGCAGAGAAAGCAGCAAGTGCCCCTCTAAAGCAGTTTATGCTGGGGCTCCTTCTATAAAAGCTTCTCAACCTAAATGACCAAATGCGGGCTGCCAAGGTTATTTCTTCCTTGAGACAGAGAAAAAGAAAGCTGTAATTGAAGGTAAGCCGATTTGAGCCTGGCCAGGCACAGAAGCGTGACCCCAGGGAGAAGGGAATCTGGAGAATCACAAGCAGTCTGTTGTCAGATTCTAATGACTGCCTGCTCTTTAAGAGCTGCCTGACAATTTGCATTTATAACAGGAGACTATCTACAAAGAAGGATGATGCAGTGCTCATGTTACCTAGTGATGTAAGAGGATTCTTTTATTTCTGTTAGGAAGCTGTTGCAGATTTTCGTGTTGTCTTAATATCCTTTGAGCTGGGTGCGGGGGGTTCATTTGTTAATAGTGTAACATTAGATAGTTATTGCTTTTAAAAATCAATTTCACAAAATCCTTATTTAATTTCTCCTGAAAGGGACACTCTTCAACCAGAGCAAATTCCACTGAAGCATTAACCTGCTTTAAAAAGTAAATGTCTGATTTTTTTGGTGTCCTGTGTTCATGCCAGCATTTGTCTTGAGAATTGAAACAGCTTGTGTTTTTCCCCCCTCCTCACATACTTTATTTTCTTTCTGCCCTCATTTCTTAACTGGCTATTTCCCTATAAGCTCTCAAACAGCACACCAACACTGATCTTTATCAGCATGCCACTAACATGATAGGAAACGCTGGACTGGTGATTCAGCAGCCAACCATTTTACAGCCAGGTAGGCTGGAAGATAGAGAAAGGACTTTGATTAGGGTTTTAAGATTAACTTGTTCATCTCCTCCAGTCCAACACCACCCCCAGCCTTACCTTCAATATGACTTAGATTCTGCAGAGTTTTTTCTTTCAGATATGTGTGTTGCTTGTGAAAGATATGCTGAATTAGGTATTTGGAAGACTCCAATTTGTAAACCAGATGTAGCTTGGGTGTTAATTCAAATTGACCCCATCAGAGTGCTGAAGTTGTCTGTTAGAAGTTTAGAGTCAAAATGGGGTTGTGGATAAGAGGAGTATGTGTGTGTGTGTGTGTGTGTGTGTGTGTGTGTGGGAGGGGGGGTCAGTTCAGGCCACTTCAACTTTCTCTGCAGAGGGATTCATCACCAAATAGTCTAGATAAAGCTTTGGATCTGCCAAGGTTGATGCTGCAAATGTGAGCTCAGGCTGAGTTCAATTATAGCATTACTCTGCATTTTTCCTCAGAGTTCATTTACATAAATACTTGAGTACTATTTTACATTTTGTGTTTAAAAGCTAAATATTGTTTCACCAGAGGATTGTGGATATATTTTGAATAAGTTTGTTAAACCATACTAAGTAACCTTGTATGAGTACAACTTCTGAGTTTGACTACTTCTCCCCTATTACCACTGTTTATTAAACAAACTTTGGTTTAGCTGATATTTATTAAGGTTTGGGCAGATGTTATATGCTGGAGAAGGCAATGATGAGTCAGATCTAGGGCTGCCTTCAAAGAGCTTCTAGTCCAGAAAAGAAGATAAAGTATTTGCATAATAATTATGATAGAAATGCTAAAGGCAGAGCAGATAAAAGGCTGTGTTGGAAAAATGGATTTGTTTCTTAATGATTGAAGGACCAAGGAGGGACATCTTTGTGGAGCCCTACTTATAAATCTTTAAATCTCTACTTATAAATCTTAGATTGTTCTGATATACTCAGTAAAAGTTTCTACAAGCCTGTTACATCAGGGATCAAAGTCTTCTACCTATTGAAAGAAAGCATGTACATTCCAGCCAGCTTAACGCTTGAAGAGGCTGACATGCTTTCTTTGGAGTCCCCATTCAGGCAAAAGCCACCTCCCACGATTGAATTATTGCCTCATAAATGTAAAATGCTTTCTGCTGTGATATGTCTACAAAGGTCTTTGACCCCTTTGTCTCCCTTCCATAACAGAAACTGAAATACTTCAGCTGCTCCAAGCTCCGTCTTTTGTTTCATAAATCCTTTCCCACTGCACTTCAACTCCTGTCAGTTCTCCCTTTGTACTTCCACTATCATCTGTCCCCTTCCATTTACACTGCCTGAAGACACTCATTTTGTGCCTAGACCATTGAAATCTCTGAATGTGATGGAAGTTCTCACCAGGTGATTGATTTTATTGCTTTGTCAGCACACCCTAACTGTAGTCTTCTGATAGTTTAAGAGCTCACCTACTGGTGCACAGAAAAGAGATATTAAAAATGACTAATGTCTGAAGTACTAATGTCTTGTTTTCTGTTCAATCTAGAGGACAAGTCATACAATGGTGGAGGAATAGGTTCTTCAACTAGGATGATGGATTTCTTGGAGGAGCCAATCCCTGGTGTGGGGACCTATGATGATTTCAATACAATTGATTGGGTGAGAGAGAAGTCTCGAGACCGGGATAGGCATCGAGAGGTAAGGTGAAAAATGGTACATGAGTGTTAGGAAACACCAGGGTAAGAAATTGAAGATATACTTTATATGTCATTCCTTCATCCCTGGATGTGGCTGAATCTGGTTTCTATTGGCAATATAGAGTTTTATTTTAATGTGCCTTTAAATGATTTTGAAAAGAATTTATGCTTAATGATGATTTTTCGTTTTATAGTAAGTGGTTGAGAAGAATCTTTGCAGCCTAAAATGGGTATAAATACCTATTCAAACTTGGTGGGAGTGACCAAAATAAAATTCAAAGATCCTCCTTTCTCATTTCATCTCCCTTTTATGGTTTCCCCTTGAAGCAGGATTTTTAGAACTAAGAAAAATAAATGGGTTTCTTTCAAAGAAATAAAAGAAAAAATATCAGAACTTTAGTATTTACTAAAGCATACAAGATAAACTTTTTGTGCTCGTAGTGCTTGTACAACCATAAAACCAAAATAAATTTATGTATTGGGCTCAAACAATACCATAAGACCAATCAAATTCAAATTAAGGGCATTGATTTAACATGATAGATAATAGATGGTACTTATGGCTAGGACAGCTTCTTGTGAATATGACAAGAGAATTTCTCCACTTTTCAAAGTATGATGAAAACATTTCAGAGCAGTCCAGCAAGGTCATTTGCCTTGAACTTGTTGCTGTGTATCATTTAAGTGAGGGAATCGTAATCTCTAGTATCAGGAGCTCATGGAGAGCTTACTATTAAGGTAGGGCCCCAGCCCCAGTGACCCTGATTCAGTAGATGATCCTCTGGGGAGACATTTCTTCAACCACCAGTAGGTATTATTATTTTTTCCTTCTTACTACTTATGCTTTGACTCTGAATTTAATTTTTGATTTTTAAGATGACCCCATTCTGCCCCAAGTTCATTATTTCTTTCTCAGTAAATCTCCAAAGCAGATCATGTTTCATTCTTTTTTTTAAAGTGATTTCAGAGAAGAAGGGAGAGGGACAGAGAGATAGAAACATCAATGATGAAATGGAGTCATGGATTGGCTGCCTCCTGCATGCTCCCTACTGGGGATTGAGCCTACAACCTGGACATGTGCCCTGACCAGGAATTGAATTCTGACCTCTTGGTTCATAAGTTGACACTCAATTACTGAGCCATGCTGGCCGGGCCAATTTTCATTCTTAAGCCTTTCCCAGTTCCTGATTGGTGTTCTCCTGACCACCAGAACCCAGGAGTCAGGTTGTCCCAAGTACAGAAATTCCTTTGTAATCCTTGGATTTGTGATAATCCCACTGATTATCTCACTTATCCTAACTTAAAGGGTGATTTCTATAGACCAAAGAACATATATGTATGTCTCCATGGACACGGACAATAGTGTGATGGAGACCTGGGGTGGAGGGAAGGTACAAACTATAGAGGTTCAATGGTGGTGGGGAGGGGGGGAGGAGACATCTGTAATTACTTTCAGCAATGAAGATAAATTAAAAAAAAGGTTTCTGATATTTGGGAGCACATTCGTATTCTATTTATTTTGTCAATTCATCAGGTAGGCTTTAAATTTGGAATTGTATGGCTTTTGAATTTCTGTTCTCTGTAATTCAGAATTCAAATTTTCAACAGTTGCATATCCAATGCTATTCACATTGCAAAAGTAGTCTGTTGATATGACAAGAGCATATTTCCTATTATGTTAAAATGGTTGCATCTGAGACAAATTCTGCCAATAATTCAAAATAAATTAAAATTTGTTTATGAAATGTTCAATGTAAACACTGTCACAGGGGAAAATGTCACCTCACCTTCTTTCACTACTGAACTGGAAACTTGAAATTATAGGTCAAAATGAAAATTTTAACTACTTTAAGTTTTTAAAATAATTTATTATAATTATTTGTGATGTTGCTGTAGATAAAGATAGAGTGGCTGGAGTGGCTAAGTCATAATTTCAAAGATAAGAAATAGAGGTACAGAGAAGGGGGAATTACCAATGACAAAGCTGTCACAATGCTTGGTTTTGAAATGTGGACACTGAAGGGTTAAATTGACAAGGATAGGGCCTCAAAGGTAAAACTTTCTGTATCTCTTGATAGCCTCAGATATTCCCAGCAGGTTTTTGAAAATAAAGAGATGGATTCCTAATATCATCTAGTATTGGGGGATCAAGTCTTGCCTGACCTGATCAAGATTTGCCTGACCTGAAGCATAGCTCTGGATAATACACTTCAGATTGTACTTTCAGCACTCAAATAAGCTTATGTTTGTTTATTGTTTAAAAAACAATCAAACTATTTGCTATGAGTCAGGAGACCATCTTTGAAATATCTGATGTCTAGGGTGGAAAAAGACCACTTTAGTAAGCAAAATAGACTGAATCTTTAAGAAATCAGCAGCTGAATGGGGAAGGCTGAATAAGATACTTGTAGGCATTTTGATATTGTAGATGACGGTGGTGGGGATCAGTAGTCAATGTTGAATAAACCTCTAAGTTCTTGGTTATGTTGGGTCAGCCAAAGTTATTTGAGAAATAACTCCAAGTTTGTTTCTATTCCCAATAAGTATATTTGTCTTTGCATTTATTTACTCCATTGCACATTTGGAGGTGAAAAAGCAACAGTGTGTGTAGAATGTACCAATGTTTTCTCATTTCTCCTTAGATTACCAATAAAAGCAAAGAATCAACATGGGCCTTAATTCACAGTGTGAGTGATGCTTTTTCTGGCTGGTTGTTGATGCTACTTATTGGACTTTTATCAGGTAAGGTAAACTTAGTTTTCTAAATCAATCTCACAACATTTTGGTATGCACACCCCCCCCCCCCTCAAGCCATGGCCTGAGTTGAGTGCTGTGCTTTACAATTCTCCTACATGAAAGCAATTGCTGATGGATCTTTTGGAAGCTCGTATCCCCATGGCAAATGGATACTAAGACCTGTATCTCCTGTAAATAAATGATGTTAAATGAGGAGTTACATATAAATGCATTTGTATACCATAAAATGATACATCATTTTAAGGTGCTGTTAGCGTGGCCTTTCAGTGCTTATCTTGAGGAAGAACCCTTCTGTTGAAAGCAATCAGATTTTAAAAAAAATACATAGTACATGGGGTTTAGGAGAGAAGATGTAGACGAGGACTTCCTGAGGCATTTTTGTAGCTATTTCTTAAACATATACTCTCTCAACTGGGGATAAAGAAAAACATGTAAGACATGGCTCATATCCTGAAGGAGTTTATCATCTCATTCTTTCATGGTGGCTGAGAAGTGGTTTGCTACCACCTTTCCCCATCATCTCCATCAACCTCCCAAGCCACTGCAAGTAATATACAATCTAACTTGTAATATTACACTTGCTATTGCAAATACAGCTTTAAAGCAAGTTCCCAAGCAGGTTTTCCCTCCCCTGGAGGAAGCAGAAAGTCAAGAATACCTGGCAGAGATGATAAGAGATGTAGCCTTATGGAATTAAAAGATGGGTGCATGAAGATCTGGAATACTGAGTTAAATTGAATGTTAAGTGGGAAACCTGGAGATGGATGAGATGAAATAGCAATTAACAGCACAGGCTGTATTTTGTGGCTGCCTAGATTTGAATCCAAGCCTCAGAACTTGCTAGTTTTGGGACTTTTGGCAAGTTTTTGAACCCTGGGAAACGTTCGTTTACTGATCCATAAAGTGGGGATAATGAGTATCTATTGTTACTCATTTGTTAAGTGGAGATTCAATGAGATAGAACACATATAGCGCTTAGCACAGAGCCCAGTTGTTAACAGTACTTTGCTGTTACCTAGAGATAAAGCATAAGCCATGGAGTATAAGATTATTGCTGCAGTGAGGAATGTCTCATCCATAGCTGGCTTTTCAAAGATGATCTAGGGCGGTGGTCAGCAAACGTTTTCTCTAAAGGATCAGATAGTAAATATTTTAGGATTTATGGGCCAAATGGTTTCTGTAGCATGGAAACAGCCATAGATGTTAGGTAAACAAATGATTGGGCCTGTGACCAAGAAAAACTTTATTGGCAAACACAGAGGCAGGTTTCACTCTCAGACCATAATTTGCCACCCTGTGGTCTAGGGTATTAATGGTGCCCCTTCTGCCTTGCACAGGAGAGAGAACACAGTCTGGTCAGTTTAGAGCTGGCTAATGATAGACTGAGTGATCTGTAGCCCCAAGTGTTGCAGAGATGCCGAAGAGAAAGAAGAGGACGGAGAAAAGGTTATATAGTTTAGCAGTTAAGAGAATACCAATGACCTTGAAAAACCATCTTGGGCAAATATTAGGGGCCAGAGTTCAAGGGAAGGTAAGCCGTATGAAAGTTTTGGAAATATTTGGGGTTCATTGGAAGTAGAGAAGGGACAAACCTTGAAGTGGTAAGAAGGACAAGGGAAAGCATTTTAGGAAATTTGTAACCAGGGAAGGAGGAGCTGGTTGGGAAAAGAAGTAGAAGTAGAAGGGAAGACAGCATTGAGGGGACCTGTGCTAGTTAGGAAAAGACATGCATGCATGAAACGACTAGAGAAAAAGCCAAACTCTATAACATTATGTTAGTTTTCAGAATCCAGGCAATAAGTGCAATAAGAGTTAGAAGGAAGAGAAGGTGGGAGCTGGAGTGGCCAAGAGTAGATATCAAACTGTTAGATTTGACTAGGTTATTCAAGTATGTAAATAACCTGTGTTAACACTTTTAGCACCTACCAAAACATACACATGACATGGCCTCCACACTGTTGGAATGTAAATGTAATATCCTCAACTTTTAAAATATATTTCTTGTCACTAGGCAAATATTTTTCTTTCCCTCATACACACAGGGTATTTTGTTTTTAAGCATTAGGGAGCTAAAATAGAAGCAGTGTGTCTGAATGCAGGAACAGTCTGGGGATTCAGGGGCTGTGAATTTTATGATGTCTTTCCTATTTCCCTAAAGTTATATTCTAGACCATTTAATTTTTTATGCCATAATTTTTTCATCTGGGTGACAGAAATGAAGAGAAGGCCAAAACTGAAAGTACTATAACTCTCCGAACCCTATCAGTCTATTAGCCCATAGTGCCTAACTTTCCATTCACTATTTCCTTTCTCACATTTTTTCTATGTATATAATATTGTCTGCTCCTCTCAGTAAGAAAAATTCAGAATGTTTATGTCCCAGGCTCAGGAGGCTTCAATATGTCTACAGCTTCATGTAACTTTCTATGTGGCTGCTTTTATAAATTTAGTTCCCTTAGCCTAGAATGCCTTGCTGCCCATTGCTCAAATTCCCTTGTCCATGGGACAAAATCACTATCAAGACTGAGTCCTTCACCATAGCATTCATTGGTTCCTCTCCCCCAAGCCAACTCAAATAACTTACCATATCATATTCTTTAATATGGTCAGTTCAAGTTTTCTCAATCTTACGCATATAGTGAATAAAATAATCTTTTTAAAAAAATATATTTTATTGATTTTTTACAGAGAGGAAGGGAGAAAGAGGGATAGATAGTTAGAAACATCGATGAGAGAGAAACATTGATCAGCTGCCTCTTGCACACCCCATACTGGGACCTTTCAGTCCACAGGCCAACGCTCTATCCACTGAGCCAATACGGTTTCGGCAGTATTCATTAACTCTTAAGTCAAAGCAGAATCTTTTTTCAAAACTATAATTTAAAAAAAAATATTTTTATTGATTTCAGAGAAGAAGGGAGAGGGAGAGAGAATGATGAGAGAGAATCATTGACTGGTTGTCTCATACATGCCCCCAACTGGGGATCGAGCCTACAACCTGGGCATTTTCCCTTGGTCAAAATCGAAACTGGGACCATTCAGTCTGAAGGCCGGTGCTTTATCCACTGAACCAAACCAGCTAGGGCCAAAGCAGAATATTTCCATATAAATCAACTGAAGGTTAAATCCATTTTCTCCTTGCTCCTACCCAACCTCTCTGCTCTCCCTTAAGTTTCCCATATATACCAGTAGAAATTCTCTAGACACAGTGTTTAATTTAGACAATGTTTTATTTTGTTTTTCCCTTTTGAACAGGCATTTAATAATAGGTGAAATCTATTAGAGACAGTAGGTTAAAATCAAGCAAATAGAAAATCAGAAAGAAGTTGCAGATGGAATGGGGAAAGGTATATGTTTGTCCATTATTTTTATCCCTTTTCTGTCATTTTCTCTAAAATTTGTGGCCCTTCCTTCCTTCCCCTCTAATCAGGTTCCCTAGCTGGCTTGATAGACATATCTGCTCATTGGATGACAGACTTAAAAGAAGGTATATGCACAGAAGGATTGTGGTTTAACCATGAACACTGTTGCTGGGACTCCGATCAGGTCACCTTTGAAGAAAAAGACAAATGCCCAAAGTGGAATAGCTGGTCTCAGCTTCTCATCAGCACAGAAGAGGTAACATGTAGTGAGGATTTTGGAAACACTGGCTTTTATTCTTACATTTCCTTCATTTCTTAACTGTACTCATGGCAACTGTGGACTCTCCCCTTGTTTTTCTTTTCATAAAAACGGGAACCACTGCCAGCTTCCTTTCTCTGTGGTTGAAGTGCAGTCCTATTTCCATCTCTTCTGGCACGTGGAAGCGTTTGATGCTTACACAATTACTTAACATTTTTGCTTGTTTTAAACAAGCTTATTGCTTCTTCTTGGTTTTAGTACACAGTGTGACTGAATTTATCTTTCTCTAATAATTTCAGTAGAAAAGTTAGAGCCACCCAACAAAGGATGGACTGGGCTAAAAATGTTTATTGTGTAGATTCCAAAAGTATTTTTCCCCTGAGCATTACATTACAACATAAAAAAAACCAAACAAAAAACAAAAAAAAAAAAAAAAAAATGCTATGGTACACTGCTCAAAATGCTCTAATGACATTCTTAATATAAGTATACTCTGAATATGAAAAAATTATAATACATTCTATATCAAAACAACAGAAACTCAGGAATAAACTTGCCCTAGTCCCATTTTGAAATTGTCAATATTTTCATTTGTCCTTCTCTGCAAGCCTATATTTTTCAAAAAAGTATTAACTTTGTTTTGCTGTTCTTGCCTTTCTATTACCACTTGGTTGTAAGTTAGATCTTTCCTACTAAAAAAAAACAAACAAAAAAAAAAAACACACGAAAAATAAAACTGAATAAAGCAACTCTCAATTCCCAATTTCACTCTGACTTCTACCAATTAAAGCGGGTACTCTCAGCTCACTACTCATCTGCTCTGTTGGTGAAGTGAGGGGGATAACACTAGGAAATATGTTTCTACTTTTATTTTACTTACTTATTTTTAATATATTTTTGTTGACTTTAGAGAGGAAGGGAGAGGGAGAAAGAGAGACAGTAGCATCAATGATGAGAGAGAATCATCGATCAGCCACCTTCTGCACATCCTTTACTGGGGTTGAGCCCACAACCCGGGCATGTGCCCTGACTGGGAATGGAACCATGATCTCCTGGTTCATAGGTCGGCACTCCACCACTGAGCCACACTGGCTAGGCTGCTTGTACTTTTATATTTTATTTTTTAAGGTTCATGTGACATTTTATTTATTTTTTATGTTAAATCTTTATTGTTGAAAGCATTACATATACTTTCTCCCCATCTACTTTGGTCCACATTTGAACTGGGGTGCACACACACACACACACACACAGAGTCAATCAAGAGAAAAAAATGTAGGAGAATAGTAAAGTCAGAAATAACAGTGTTTATGTGTATATATGGCTGTGCATATTTTGGTTTGGGGAACAGAGTTCAATAACTGTGGTAAATATATACTTTATGTGTGAGAGGGTTTAAATATAAGCTTCTCAAACTGGGGTCAGAGTGTCAGAGTAGGTGAAACCACAGGATAAATGTTATGTGCCTTCCCAGAATATCAGTCTTTCCTAAATATTTGGTAGATTTTTTTTCTCAAAAATTAAATGGAAATACAAAATTCTCATGTTTGTTAAGATAAAATAATCTCTATTTCAGCTCTGTTCCTGGGTGCCCACATCGCCTACCCTGATATCTCTATTTACTTTCTTAAATTAGGAGTACTTGGGTAGAAAAATTTGAGAATCCCTAGAATTTAGGGTGTATGTGTGTGTGTGTGTGTGTGTGTGTGTGTGTGTGTGTGTGTGTTTATTATGTATGTATGATTCCCTTGCTTTAGAAAACTTATTTTTGAAGTATAGATTCACAGGAAGTTGCAAAACTGTATATAAGGAGGTCTCCCCTACTTTTTACCTAGCCCTTATCCACAGACCTTATTTCTTTTGTTTTATATGCATATATATACACTGAATGGCCAGATTATTATGATCTCTGAACACATAATAATCTGTCCACTCAGTGTATATCCTATATAATAAAAGGCTAATATGCAAATTGTCCCCTTGACCAGGAGTTCGACCAGCAGGCAGGCCATCCAACTGCCCATATCTCTTCCCCCTGGCCAGGCTAGCCCTACCCCACCCATGCATGAATTCATATACTGGGCCTTTAATAATATATATATATATATATATATATATATATATATATATATATATATATTTTTTTTTTTTTCCCCCCCTGAGGGCCCAGATTATTATGCATTCAAAGATCACAATAATCTGGCCAGTCAGTGTATGTGCGTGTGTGTGTGTGTGTGTGTGTGTGTGTGTGTAGGTGTAGTCCTCTGCAATTTTATTACATGTATAGATTTATGTACCCACTACCACAATCAAGATATGGAACTATTGTTGCATCACCCCAGGGCACTTCCCTGCTACCCCTTTATAGCTGGGAATATTTTTAAGTGTTTCAACTATAACTTTCAAACTGGATCTTGAGATTTGTCAAGTGAAAAATTTATCTGGCTCTCCTTTATGAACAAAATCCTTGCTTAGGGAAAAAGTCTTCTGGGTTTTAAGAGTTCTCCTGCCAAGAACTTGGCCTCTGGATCTATGCCTCTAGCCAGTTTCAGCTGCATTCCCTTTCTCCCCCCCTTTCCTCTTTGTTTCCAATTTCTGAAGTCTTCTTCCCTAGTTACATTCCAAAGGCAAAGAGAGAGCAATTTTATGTTTCTCTGAGGGAATAAGATAATGGAAACCCTGTGTCAAAATTATAATTCAGAAAAAACCTGTCCATTTTGGTCCTCCTTGTCTAGGTCAGCAAATGTTTTAATACTATTATGTTTTAAAAAGTCAAAAGTTCATTGAGTTTTGTGTTTTGTGTAATTTGATTGAATTTCAACTTCTAATGTGTCTATCAGCATGCATAAGCTCCTTATGTTCAAAATAGTTTTTGTATAGGACATAACTATTTGCAAGCCCTTAATGTGGATAGTTCCTTATTGGTGGTTAAAATTAGATTTAGTTTTTCACAGACTTTGTTATCATAGGGTAGTTTCAAAAGTATATTATCTCTATCCTCCTTTCTCCATTTAAAAAAATAGCTATTGCCATTTTATTCTTTGGGATATCTGGCATTTTACTGGTTTTGTTTTATGGTCAGACTCTGGAACTTCTACTACATAAACTTGTTGCTGAATCTGTCGTAGCAAAATTCTCTCAACGCTGTGATCATTCTCTACAGAACATAATTGTGTATTTTAAGAAAAAGACCCATGAATTTTAGACACTGTAACCTCCTATGAGAATTTGACACCGAGGTAGGTTGTGAAAGGTGAATTTAATGAAACTTTAGAGCCAAATCAAACTTCAGTGTGTAGCCAGTTCAGCCATTTGAATAGAAGGGTTATTAATCTTAATAAAGTTGACTTTTTAAAAAAACATTTTTTATTGATTCCAGAGAGGAAAGGAGGAGAGAGAAACATCAACAATGAGAGAGAATCATTGATCGGCTGCCTTCTGCATGCCCTCTACTGGGGATTGAGCCTGCAACCTGGGCATGTGCCCTGACTAGGAATTGAACTCTGAGCTCCTGGTTTATAGATCGACCCTCAACCACTGAGCCAGGCTGCCGGGCTACAGTTGACCTTGAACAACGCAGTTTTGAACTGTGTGAGTCCACTTTTATGCAGAATTTTTTTCAATACTACTAAATATAATCAGCCCTTTGTGCTCTCCTTCATAGATTCAAACCTCCATGAATTCAACCAACCACAAATGGAACACAATATTTACATATTACCATCCGTGGATTTCCAACTGCAGATCAAAGATAGTTTTTTATTTTCAGTTGGTTTAATTCATGGATGTGAAGGGCCAACTGTAGTTAAGTTTAGGGAAGTCAAAAGTTATGCTAAGTGAAATAAGCCAGTCAATGAAAGAAAAATACCACATGATCTCACACATTTGTGGATAATAAAGAACCTTATAAACTGATGAACACAAAGATAGATACAGAGGCAGTAAAGCATCAAACAGACTGTCAAATTACAGTGGGAAGGTTAGGAAGAGTTGGGGGAGATAAGAGATCAACAGAAGGAGTTGTATGCATAACCAATGGGCGCAAAACACTGGGGGGTGAGAGCATGTATGGGAGAGGGTGGTGGGGACAATGGTAAGATACGTACACATATAATACTTTAATAAAAAAATGGAAAAAAAGAAAAATATATTCATAAGAAGAATATATTTATAAGAAAACTAAAAATAAAAGTTATATGGGGAATCTAATGAACAAAATAGAAACAGACTCATAGATACAGAGAACAGAGTGATAGTTGCCAGAGGGGTTGGGACCACTGGGTGAAAAAGGTGAAGGGATTAAGAAGTACAAATTGGTAATTTCAGAATAGTTGCAGGGATGGAAATTACAGCATATAGAATATAGTCAATAATATTCTAATAACTATGTATAGGGCCAGGTGGGTAATTTGAAATATTGGGGGATCCCTTTATAGTGTATATGGTTCTCTATCTGCTATGCTGTACACCTGAAACTAATACAAAGTAATACTGATGTAAACTATAATTGAAAAATTAAAAAAAAAGTTATATGGGGATTTTTAATTGCTCAGGGATCAGTATCTCTAACACAGCATTGCTTAAGGGTCAACTGTACCGTTGACTACAAAACCTATCCAACCACTCATATAGAAAGTGAATTTGCTTGCCCTTGTTCTTGTCTATCCTTAGAAGCCATTGTCAGTTTCCTTTGGGTGTAGCAAGCTCTTCATTTTAAATAGCAAATGGGCTGACAGTGTTTTTAGTAGCTTTGCTGATAATCAGGAAAGAAACATCTTAAGCAGTTTAATGTTTTTTTTCTCTCTCTGACTTCCTCTCCTGAAAACCTATTACTCAGAAGAGCTGCATGCCTTACTGAGGCTGTCTGAGCTAACAAAACTTTTCTTTTTTCCCTGTTCTAGGGAGCCTTTGCTTACATAGTCAATTATTTCATGTATGTCCTCTGGGCTCTACTGTTTGCCTTCCTTGCCGTATCTCTTGTCAAGGTGTTTGCACCTTATGCCTGTGGCTCCGGAATCCCCGAGGTGAGTCTCCAAAATGGCTTATAAATGGTAACAATAATGATTCCTTTTTGGTTAAAACCCTTTATTTTTTCAAACCCTTTGATATGTATACAACAATATGAATATTAAATAAGGTTAGATCTTGATGCAATCTAGGGCCTCTCTAGGTGTTCCCTAAGTTTCCTCCCCACCTGAGCAGCCTGGACATTAAATGGAGTTGATTCATAGCCTCTTGTGGATTCCTGGTGAGCTAGGCCCCTGAAGACCTCTGCAACTCCCTACTCAAGAAGCTTCCCAGGGTAGATTTCAAGATTCTGGCCTGAAAATGTAGTGGTATTGTCAACTCTGTTACATCAGAATAAATAAAACTATTTGGCTGTATTTCCTACAATCTGACTTGGGCTAGAAAAAAGGGTGATTAAAACCCTGTTTCTAATTATTTTTGGTTTCGATTGCTTGACAGTGATTGAAACCACTGAGATTTAAGGTTACCTAGATGACCTCGCCCTTCTCTTGTTTCCTGACCAAGTTACAGTTACAATTTTTTTTTTCTGGCAGGGAATCAAGGCTATATTATTCTGTAAGGAAAATACCTTCCGTTTCCACCTCCCCTTCTCCATATGCATGCTCTCATACTTACAATACTCCCTTGCCCAGCTATCACACTGTCAAAAAAAAAACAAGAAACATGAAAATGGAAAGAACAGTTTTCACTTTTTGGGTTCCTGGCCTCCCTCCCAGACTAGGATCACTGTAGGTCTAGCGTTTATATGTTCCAAAGATACAGTTTCTATAATGAGGTCCAGATGATTGCTGCTTAGCTTGGTTTAGTTGCTTAGTCTATATCCAATCTCCCTGTGTTTGACTTGCAGATAAAAACTATCTTGAGTGGTTTTATTATTAGGGGCTACTTGGGTAAGTGGACTCTGATTATCAAAACCATCACGTTGGTGCTGGCAGTGTCTTCTGGCTTGAGCCTGGGCAAAGAGGGCCCTCTAGTGCATGTGGCTTGCTGTTGTGGGAACATCCTGTGCCACTGCTTCAACAAATACAGGAAGAATGAAGCTAAACGCAGAGAGGTAATAACAAATGGCCTTAACAATCTTTCTCTTTGTTTTTGTTTTTTTGTTTGTTTGTTTGTTTGTTTGTTTGTTTTGAGTGAGAACATAAATGGTAATTCTTAGGGATGAAAATTTGGGGATTCTACCAATGTTGATTCAAATGCCCTTTGACCTAGAAGTTCCACTTCTAGTAATTTGCAAGCATGTGTGTGCTCAAAGATGTTTGGGGATAGTCAATGCAGCATTTATCAACATAGTGAAAAACTGAAATTATCACAATGTGCACAACAGGGGACTGACTGAACAATCTTATGTCCATACTATAGAAAACTGCAACTTTTAAAAAGGCCGAGATAGCTCTTTGTATACTGACATGAAAGTATGACCAGAGATGTAGTATAATTTAATTAGTGTTTTAATTTTTATTATTATTTATTTTAAAATATATTTTTTTATTGATTTCAGAGAAGGGAGAGGGAGAGAGAGATAAAAACATCAATGACAAAAGAGAATCATTAATTGGCTGCCTCCTGCATGTTCCACACTGGGAATCAAACCGAGACTTCCTGATTCATAGGTTGATGCTTAACCACTGAGCCATGCTGACTGGGCCAATTAATGTTTTTAAAAGGTGTATGTATATGCACTTAGAATGAAAATGTCTGGAAAGTGGTTTTACCTCAAATTGTTAAAAAATATCTTCTGGTGAATGGGAAGTGAGGTGACAGTAAAGGTGAAATAAGGACTTAAACTTTTTATTATATATAATTCTATACAATTGTGTGCAGTTTCTATTATAAATTAAGTTAAAAAAACAATAGAAGATTTTTAAAAAGAAGTCTATTCCTATGAAAGAACACACACTTAGCATTTGTTTCAGATATCAGCCTCTTCATGTTTTATTTCTACCTAACACCAAATGGAATTCAGCTCTGTGTCTTGGATCTCCTTCTCTTCTGTCTCAACCCCACTAAATAAGTTCCACCACAGCATCTCTGTAGGAGTTAACATGTTTTAGCATTTTGAGGAGGAAGAACATTTATTAAAGAAGTGTTCTAAGTCATTGTTTACTTTTTTCCTGTTATAATTAGAGATTTAAGAAAAGAATGGTTCTTACTCTATTTTCCTTGAATTACAAAGAAATCACATATGGAATGGGTCAAGACCAGGGCCATTCTATTGATATTATAAAGGTATTCTCATAAAATTGGAACCTAGTGATTTATTTTGAAAACAAAGAAAAAAAAATGAGACCTAGATGGAAACTCAAATGTGTTGAAATTTTAAACATGGAATACATTTTGAGAGTTCAAGGGGGAAAAGTTCCTGGCAGGAGAGGAAGGCTAGAGAGAGACATATCTGAACAGTAAAGGGATATAAAGGTGGTATTAAGTTGGTGAAGTTGTTGTATATGTCAAAGTGTTTTTTCAACTTTGACAAAAGTGAAATGTTGATCGTTGCTGGTTTTGCAGAGGTAGAGGTGACTTTGAAACTATAGACTGCTAATTACTTTTATTCCATAAAATTAAAAATTTTTGTTCAAATAATTTTTTTTAATAAAATACGAGGGGAGTTTGATTTGGCTGTTTCTCTGAACACATGTCATGTATTTCTCTAACTAGACTCATGAATATTTGAAGTTTTAGTTGACTTCTTAGTGTTTATTTAGACTTTCCATGTTTTTTCCCTCTGCTGATTGGCAGCAATCCTTTTGTGTCCCAGGGCCTGGTCAAAGTGGGCAGATGGTTGAATAAAATAAAGATTTGAAAAGTAAGGGCATAGATAAACTCCACTCTACAACATAAAATTATAGCAAACAAGCTACCTTGATTTTTCTCCCACATAATTCATCCCAAACAGTCACTAAAATCCCCTTTCTCAAGTTCCATGATGACTGTCATTCTTCTCAGATGAAAACCATTATAGCTATAAATTTCTCAGTCCTCCCCAGCCAGCACCAGAGAGTTCACTCTTTCCTCCCCTTATTTCCCTTGGCCATCCTATACTCCCAGAGAAATCTGCCATATTTTCCGGCATATAAGACGACCCCTTAATTTTTTACAGTTAAAACATAGGTTTAGGACTATATTCATTGTATAAGACTACCCCTCACTTCAAAGAAAAGACTTACTTTGCTGTCAAGATCTGCAAGTAATTTTTGTGCAATTTTGGTCTTTTGCCCCCGATTTTCGGTTGACTTCTTTTTGTTTCAAAAGTCGTCTTATACGCCGGAAAATACGGGGTACTTATTTTGCCAAGAACCATTTTATTCGTAAAAATCTCAGGGGAGGTGGGCTAAGGGGGATGAAAAGAGATTAACCAAAGAACATATATGCATATATGCATAACCCATGGACACAGGCATGTGGTAAAGGCCTGGGAGGGATGGGTGCTGGGTGGAGGGGGGACAAAGGGAGAAAAATGTGGGGGACATCTGTAATACTGTCAACAATTAAAAAAAGAAATGATTTTTTTTTGTGGATACAAAAAAACTCTTAAATTTTGTCTACTTTTTCTTTGAAATATGTTCTCACTATCCCAAATCATATTATCACTCTACAGAAACCAGAATCTGATGACAGGACTTTATGTTTTCATTACTTGTGTTTGTCGTGCCTTCCCCTCCCCTCTTAGCCCTTTACCTTTTCACACCTAAACATACATAGGTCTTCTCTTCCCTTCAAAATATATTCCCAACCTTGCTTCTATTTACCTCCCTATTTCTTTTTCCATAGGTCACTAGACATGGAATAGGGCACATAGTATAGGAAAACCTAAATATCTATTGTATAAATATTTGCAGCCCCGGAACAGCTGTGAACTAATTGTAACTTTAGTTTTGTGTGCTTAGAGCCTTCCTTAACATTTAATTTTAAAAGCATTCTTTTACAAATAAAGTGCTATGTAAATACATCATTGTAAGTACTTCATTTAGACCATTGTTTCCCAAAGTGTGGTACGCGTACCCCCAGGGGTCCGGGAAGAGTTTGGTGGGGGTACGCGCTGCACCGGAGTTTGGTGGGGATACGCACTGCACCGTGCTTAGCTGCGCCTAATTCTATGTTCTCATGAGTACGAGGGGTACTCAGCGTTACGAAAATTATAGAAAGTGTACACATATCAAAAGTTTGGGAAACACTGATTAGATGATGAATACAGACTCAAATTCAGTTATGGAATTGTGTGTATTGAAGATGGGTGCATAATTTGGAATAAAGCATACCTAAATTAATTTCAAATGAAAGACCTCTATTTATTCCATCATGTGAAATATGTGTTCAAAATCCAAATACAATGTTTGCTCTTAAAATATAAATTGAACTTCATTTTTTTATAAACTGCTTGGAGCATGTAACATAAAAAAAATGTTTAGTAGCCACTAACACTCCTTTACTCCTTTTAAAACTGATTGATGGTAGGAAAGTGGCATAATTCTATTGTTGATTTTGATTTTTGGGTTGTAGGTCTTGTCAGCTGCAGCAGCAGCTGGCGTGTCTGTCGCCTTTGGGGCACCTATTGGAGGAGTATTATTCAGCCTTGAAGAGGTAATACTTTTAACTATTTGTAGCACATATGCATACTTTTGTGTTGGGAATCCCGGCCAGTATCTATGTACATGGTAGTCCCAAAGTACTTTGCATAAGTCAGTACTTTATCATGTGACCAGAGATCTCTGGGCAGTTTTTATTCTCAGGTCTTTTTTTAAAAATATATTTTTTATTGATTTTTTACAGAGAGGAAGGAAGACGGATAGAGTTAGAAACATCGATGAGAGAGAAACATCGATCAGCTGCCTCCTGCACACCCCCCACTGGGGATGTGCCTGCAACCCAGGTACATGCCCTTGACCGGAATCGAATCTGGGACCCTTCAGTCCACAGGCCAACGCTCTATCCTCTGAGCCAAACCAGTTAGGGCTCATTCTCAGGTCTTAATTCCTACAGAATCAACGTTTTGCCCGAAACAGTTTCTACATATTGACTGAGTTTGCCTTTCCCCCTTCTCTCTTATAGGTCAGCTACTATTTTCCCCTCAAAACACTGTGGCGTTCATTCTTTGCTGCCTTGGTGGCAGCATTTACCCTACGGTCCATCAATCCATTTGGGAACAGCCGTCTGGTTCTATTTTACGTGGAGTTTCACACCCCGTGGCATCTCTTTGAGCTTGTGCCATTCATTCTGCTGGGAATATTTGGTGGTCTGTGGGGAGCTTTATTTATCCGCACAAACATTGCCTGGTGTCGGAAGCGTAAGACCACCCAATTGGGCAAGTATCCTGTCATCGAGGTACTTGTTGTGACAGCCATCACTGCCATCCTGGCTTTCCCCAACGAATATACCCGAATGAGCACAAGTGAGCTAATTTCTGAACTATTTAATGACTGTGGCCTTCTGGACTCTTCTAAGCTCTGTGATTATGAGAACCATTTCAACTCAAGCAAGGGTGGTGACCTGCCTGACAGACCTGCTGGTGCGGGAGTCTACAGTGCCATGTGGCAGCTGGCCTTGGCACTCATCTTGAAAATTGTCATTACTATATTCACCTTTGGCATGAAGGTGAGGAGATTCTTTTGGTACTCAGTGGGTATATGTGTGGCTGTGGGTTTGGAGGGCAAAGCCAAGATACCACATAATCATCATAGCTCATGTGGCACTTCCAACTTCACCCAATGTTATTACTCAATCCCAAAAGCCCTTTTCACCTCCATATGCCCTCATAACTTCTTAGACAGTTGTACCTCTATCTAAAATGATCCAAGCCTAGTTTTAGACCAAATACAAACCTCAGTGTTGAGATTTTAAGTAGAAATGTTGTCTTCTTTTTAGTTAAAAAATATTTTGTCACTCAAAAAGGATAGTGGGGTATTTATTTCTATGCATTGTATATTAAAATGATATCTATTCAATATAGTATTGGTTCTTAATAGGGTGGTTTTAGAGTTTACTGATAAAGCAAAATATTAGGTTGAGCCAAATGAAGTTGCCAATATTCAACCATTTTGACCACTAAAATAGCAATTTCATGTAGTTTAGCCCAATATATATGTAAATATATTTTAAAAATATTTTTATTGATTTCAGAGAGGAAGATAGAAACATCAATGATAAGAGAGAATCATTGATTGGCTGCCTCCTGCATGCCCTACACTAGGTGCCAAGCCTGCAACCCTGACCTGTGCCTAACTGACCAGGATTTTTGAATGACCTCCTGGTTCATAGGTTGATGTCCAACCACTTAGCCACACTGGCTGGACTATGTAAATGCATTTTTTTACATTTGGTATCAATGTTTAATTATCAAGTACTTCACAGTTGATCCTCAATTAATATATAAACTGTCAAAATGAGGCATCAAGACAGCAAGTTTTACTTTTAGTACCCATTATTCTTTCCATGTTTTAGAAGAAACCAGAAAAGAAAATTTATTAACCTATTTTCCTCCTCCTTCCTGGTTTTTATTTGTGCCTTTTCTTTAGCACCCCACTACCAAGGTATTGCCTTCTATTCTCTAGAAAAGTAGAGATTCAAACCAGGGAATTGGGGACAGCAATTCAGTTTAGACAGTACTGAAATCTCTGAGATCAAATCGTCCATCCTCCTCAACACCCTGAAAAGTTTTGCAGTGCTTCTCCAGTAATTTTCACCTCTTGCTTTATTTTTTTTTAATTTAAAGTCATTTTTCAAGGCCACCAGCCCTTCCTTGATTCAAATGCATTCCAAAAATCAAACACAAGCTATTTAAAAATAATCTGCTGTTTTGATCATCTTTGTTATCATGTCCCTTTCTTAGCTCAGAAAATTGAGAATTCATAGGAGAAATAATATCATAGGAGAAAAAGAAAAAGAGTGGGGAGACAGATGAGGGTTCCTTTTCTGGATAGTCAGGCAACTACAATCTCTACCTGATTGAAAATAATTAGTCAGTTATTCTTTCTTTGTATTGTCACAAATAAACTGAAACCTCATGTACCATTCTTTTTGTGTGAGCAATTGGTTAAGATTCAGTACATAAGAGTGGGTATGAGCATTGCGTTTATTTTTATTTTATTTATTTTTTTTATTAAGGTATTATATGTGTACATATCTTTCCATTGCCCCCCCCCCATCTCATATATGCCCTCCCTGCCCCCCACCAAAGCATTGTATTTTAACCCCATCACCAGTATTTACTAAATCTTGGACTTGGCTAAGTTAGTTAATCTCTCTGAATCTTAGGTTCTTTGTGATTTGGCCTACCTCCTGAAATCTTATCTTTAGAGCATTCAGAATAGAACATAGTAGATAGCCAATAAAGGATAATTATTTTGGGGGAAAATGTCTTCATATATGAGAAATTCCATCTATTTTCCTTTTTCTTTGGGAAAGGCTTAATTTCTGCCTCCAATTCTTTGTTGGTCTGGAGAGTTCAGGCTCTAGCCTGATGGACCCCGAATCAGGGTAAGATTCTTTGCAGTCGTACTTGCCTGCACATCCCAGACAACCCCTAGTCTCTGTAGTTTACACAAATCTTTATAGCCACTTACTAGCGTAGTATATAGTTACATTGTCATTGGCCTGTTTGCTTCTCAGAGGGTCAATCCTCTAGCCCTTACATATACCAGGCAATGACATTATTTCTTACTAACCATCTATTACTTTCTCTTTGTAGATCCCTTCTGGTCTCTTTATCCCTAGCATGGCCGTTGGTGCTATAGCAGGTCGACTTTTAGGAGTAGGAATGGAACAAATGGCTTATTACCACCATGACTGGGCCATCTTCAATAGCTGGTGTAGCCAAGGAGCTGATTGTATCACTCCTGGCCTTTATGCAATGGTTGGGGCTGCAGCCTGCTTAGGTGAGTAGTGTTTGCATTGATTTCAAAGTTGCTACCCAGGCAACATAAAAAAGAAGAGTGATATTAAATACAATTGACTGCAGATTTTTTTAAGTGACCATTTTCTGTTGTATTTGCCATTTTTTCAAGTTCTTTAAGAAAGCATTATTGATTGTCCAAAGTACTTTGTGTTTTTTTTCCCCATACCGCCCTCAATTTTTTCAGATATGTCAAGCCTATTCCTCCGTCCTATCTTTGTACTTGCTGCTCCTTCTATGAATGCTCCTTCCTCAGCTCTAGCATAGTTGATTCCTTTCAGCCTTCAGATTTTTAAAAAATATATATTTTATTGATTTTGTACAGAGAGGAAGGGAGAGAGATAGAGAGTTAGAAACATCGATGAGAGAGAGACATCGATCAGCCTCTTGCACACCCCCTACTGGGGATGTGCCCGCAAACAAGGTACATGCCCTTGACCGGAATCGAACCCACGTCCCTTCAGTCCCCAAGCCGACGCTCTATCCATTGAGCCAAACCGGTTTTGGCACAGCCTTCAGATTTTATGTTAAATGTTTTTCCCCAGAGAGTAGTTCTCTGACTGCTCAGATTATGTTTCATTCCTCACATGTTCCCCCTCCCTCACTTTCTGTTGGCAACATTTGTATATTATTACAAATTGTCTATTGTCTAGGATAGCATACTCTTTTATTAAATAATTGTTAAATACTTAAAAAAGAAAACATTCTTTACCATATATCTACATTCCTCCTCTTTAAGAGTAATTCTACTTTCAAATCCATCATACTGAGGAAATGATCAGAAATTTATATAAATGTATCTGCACAAGAATGTTCATAAGATATTATTTATAATAGCAAAAAGTTGGAATCAACCTAAATATACACAGTAAGGGACTGATTAAATAAATTATGATGTATTTATGTAATGTTATACTATGAAACCATTGAATGTCGATGTTGATATTTAACATATTTAAATACAGTGTTAAGTAAATTTGTAATAACATAAAAAATGTTCCCAACATAAAGTGGGGGTGGGGGAGAACATGTAGGGAATTAAACATGTAGTATGAGTTTACTCATGGAAAACATATTTTGTATAGTAAACGATTTGAAAAAGTCATTCAAATTTTTTACTCTACTTATTTCTGGGCAGAGAACTTATACTAGTACAATAGATAATGATATATTTGTTTTTTTATTTTCTAAATTTTCCACAGTGGGCCTGCAGATTGCAGAGAACCTCTGGCCTGTGTAGTGTTACACAGATTATGGATGTCTTCCACAGCTATTTTATAATGGGGGGAGCACAATAGATAAAACAAAAAGAAGAATCAAGAACGCATCTCATATTTTTGTAGATGTTATTTTGAGAACTCTTAATTCATTTCCATTGTAAACTTCCTTTAATGCCTTGCTGGGGTCAGCAGTTGTGAGTGAGACATCCTTTTAGCAGTGTTTCTGTTAAGTAGGCTTTTCCTGAGTGGGGCCTGTAGCAGTTCAATAATTGTGATGAATCCTATACTCTTCCCACCTTCAATAGCCTGTGCCTATTTCTTTGCAGGTGGAGTGACTCGGATGACTGTTTCTCTTGTTGTCATAATGTTTGAACTAACTGGTGGCTTGGAGTACATTGTGCCTCTGATGGCTGCGGCAATGACAAGCAAATGGGTGGCAGATGCTCTTGGGCGGGAAGGCATCTATGATGCCCACATTCGTCTCAATGGATACCCCTTTCTTGAAGCTAAAGAAGAGTTTGCTCATAAGACCCTGGCAATGGATGTGATGAAGCCCCGAAGAAATGATCCTTTGTTGACTGTCCTTACTCAGGACAGCATGACTGTGGAAGACGTAGAGACCATAATCAGTGAAACCACTTATAGTGGCTTCCCAGTAGTGGTGTCCCGGGAGTCCCAAAGGCTTGTGGGTTTTGTCCTCCGAAGAGATCTCATTATTTCAATTGGTAAGGATTCCAGAAAAGGGATAATAGGATTCACTGTGGAAATAAATAAATATTCAGAAAATGGGGGAAGATGGAGGGAAGAGGGGACTAACTAGTTAGAAGCCAGAAATAGCAGTTTAATTTTCAACATCTTCTCTCTATTTTTCAAATAGAAAATGCTCGTAAAAAACAGGATGGAGTTGTGAGCACGTCCATCATTTATTTCACTGAGCATTCTCCTCCAATGCCACCATACACTCCACCTACTCTAAAGCTTCGGAATATCCTGGATCTCAGCCCCTTCACTGTGACTGACCTTACCCCCATGGAGATCGTTGTGGATATCTTCCGCAAGCTGGGACTGCGACAGTGCCTGGTTACACACAATGGGTGAGAGCTCTTTGGTGAAGGCGAATTGGATTGTGGGAGAAAGACTGTAGAGAGAAAGAACGTAATTTACACGAACATTAGTTGCTCTTATGGGCCTTTCAGAAGCTCTGAAATGAAGACGGCTGTGTTTCTTTTATTGTCATAATTTATATTAGAGGAGTTTGAGGAAGAAAATGGGTTTGAGACGTGTGAACAGCATGTTGCATATTATATATAAGTCAGTTCCTCCCCACAAAAGAAGTAGCTGTGTTCTTATGAAATTATAATGGTATTAAACAGTATATGTATACTATTTGGTCCTTACAATACCTTTGTTTTTCCACAATAATATGAGGATGAAAAAACCAAGTTTCAATGAGGTTGGGAGATTTATACTAGCACTCCCAGTTAATATACACTGAGTGGCTAGATTATTATGATCTCTGAATGCATAATAATCTGGCCGCTCAGTGTAGATCTTTATTATAAAAGGCTAATATGCAAATTGTCCCCTCAATCAGGAGTTCAACCAGCAGGCAGGCCGGCCAACCACCCATGTTCCCTCCCCCTGGCCAGGCTGGCTGGACCCCATCCATGCACGAATTCATGCACTGAGCCACTAAAATATATAATATATATGCTGAGTGACCAGATTATTATGCATTCAGAGATCATAATAATCTGGTCACTCAGTGTGTAGTACAGGTAGGCTTTAAACATAAATCTTCTGACTCCTAAGGCCAAGGCTCTTTCTTTCTGGGATATTTCTTTTTCCCCCCTTTTTTATTGTTTAAAGTATTACATATGTCTCCTCTCCCCCACCATCAACCCTCGCCCAGCCACTCTCACCTCCCAGTACAACCCTCCCCCACCACCCCAGTGTCAGTGTCCATTGGTTATGCTAGTATGCATTCATACAAGTCCTCTGGTTGATCTCTTACCCCCTCCCCTACCTTCCCTCTGAGTTTGGACACTCTGTTTGGTATTTCTTTGTCTCTGGATCTATTTTTGTTCACCAGTTTATGTTGTTAATTATATTCTACAAATTAGTGAGATCATGTGATATTTATCTTTATCTGACTAGCATAATGTTCTCCAGGTCCATTCATGCTGTTGCAAATGGTAAAAGTTACTTCTTTTTTTTACTGCAGCGTAGTATTCCATTGTGTAGATGTACCATAGTTTTTTAATCCACTCATCTGCTGTGAGTTCTTAGGCTGTTTTCAAATTTTAGCTATTATAAATTGTGCTGCTATGAACATAGGGGTACATATATCTTTTCTGATTAGTGTTTTTGACTTATTGGGATATATTCCTAGAAGTAATATTACTGGGTCAAATGGAAGTTCCATTTTTAATTTTTTGAAGAAACGCCATACTGTTTTCCACAGTGGCTACACCAGTCTGCATTCCTACCAGCAGTGCACAAGGGTTCCTTTTTCTCCACATCCTTGATTTGTTGATGATAGCCATTCTGACAGGTGTGAGATGGTACCTCATTGCTGTTGTATTGTAATTTGCATTGCTTGGTTAATTAGTGACTTTGAGCATATTTTCATGTCTCTTGGCCTTCTATAATATTTGTCCTTTTTTGAAAAGTTTCTATTTAGGTCCATTGCCCATTTTTTTTTATTAGACTGTTTATCTTTTGTTAAGTTGTGTGAATTTCCTGTAACATTTGGAGATTAAACCCTTATCAGAGGTAGCATTGACAAATATGACGGAAAAGTAAAAGTATCCCCTTTAAGAATGTTATTTTAACTACAGATTTTTTTGTTTTATTGTTTTGTTTTGTCTTTTAGGCGATTGCTTGGAATCATTACCAAGAAGGATGTGTTAAAGCATATAGCACAGATGGCGAACCAAGATCCTGAGTCCATTCTCTTCAACTAGAATCACAGGGTGGTGCTGGATTCAAAACAGAAAGGACATTGCAGACCGTGGATATATTTTGTTAACTGGGTACCCAAAACACATTTCCCATATCTGGATGGTGAAGTTATATTAGTGTGTTGTCTCTTTCCTACAAGTTAACCAGTTGCACTACATAATAATTTCTGGAAGTTAATCTCTTTAGGAGAAAATGCAGTTAGGCTTCTGTGATGTTGCATTACAAAGATTTCATGAAAGAGTAAACAAGATTGCTATGGTTTAACTATTTTTCTTTTTTTAAAGATATTTTTTTAATTTAAAACAGCTGTTAGCCAATATGCAATCACTGAAAACTATGCAAGAAAAATATTGACCGTCCTAACTGATAGCCTGCAGGAAACTCATGAAAAAGTCACTTTTTTGGGACTCTATCATTGGTGGAAGATGAAGTGTAAACTAAGGAGCTTTGCTTTTCCAACTACAGAGAAGAAAACCAGAAGGAAAATAGTAATGGCATTTTCCAGACTGTGAAAATTCAGTTCAAACATTATCTTGCTCCTGTTACAATATTTAGCATTATTAGTTTGTGTGTGTATGTGTATGTTAATTTTAATATCTGATTATAATACAATGCTGCTTTGGTTAATCTCCTCTAAGTGAATTTAGAGAGGTTGATTTTAATGGCTTGCTTGTTCCTGGTACTCTTTTGAAGTGTGCAAAGATAAGTTATAGAGCTTTCTCCTTGTCTACTCTAAGAAGGGTAGTTTTCTAGGTGGTATTTGTTTGCTAGTAGACAAGGACTTTACCGTGCATTTATTAGTAGCGAGGAATGATTTCTCCAGATGAATGATTAGTGAAGTTCTAAGCAAAGTCAATGACTAGGAACTTTAAATTTTGTGAGGTTCCAGCTCATCCTCTTACCCAGATGCCACCTCCATGAGTGATGGTGCTTTAGGCTTCTGGAATATATAAGGATAATAAAGGGAACCAAGTCTAGACTGCATACTGGTAAACTAGGGAAGATTCTGAACTGTATCTACGTTCTCATTCATTCCTTCATAAAGACCACCAGTACTAAAATAACTGGACACCCATGCCTCCTCCCAGTGTGAAGTATGTAGGACAGGTCAGTATTGTTCCTGTGAACATGAATTTAGGCTCGGGGTACTTTCAGATATATTCAAGTCATCGAAACAGAATAGGCAGTTGTGACTCCCTTGCAGCTCCTTAGAATTCTGAATGAAATGCAGAACCATCCTAACACCCCAGGGTGTGGATAAGGCCTGGTAACACCAAAGGTGCTTGCATCTAATTGAAAAGGTGCCTGTCTGAATTTCCTACCACCTTAACTGCAGTAGAAAACATCACAGTCTAGAGACACCTGGTGGAATTACAGAGCCACCACCATCATTCCGATCACTGTTTCACTTTCTACAGTTTATCCACGTGTAGTTGTTCCCCCTCAATTCTTTGCCCCTTCCCACTCCTCAGTCCCAAGTTAATCATTCCTATTACGAAAATAATTCCCAGGGCTAGTTAAATTATAAACCAAGCCTCAGTAATCTTTTTGGCATGTGGACCAGAGATAACCTACAACCATGGCTCTGTTCTATAACCCAGTCACTGCTACCATGCCTCAATTTCCACACCGATGCCCACAGCAGTGAGACTTAACTGCCAGGGGTGAAAGTTCAGCCTTTTGCATTTTACAAGTCTGTTCCCCAGCCCTTCTCTCCATCCTTCTAACCTGGAATCAGCAGTCACTCAGCAGATCCTTCCCAGCCCTCCACCTCTCTTCCCCAAACACTTCATACCTCATTTTAAAGCTGCTGATCCCAGAGTCTAAGCTTTTTTTTTTTTAAACCCTTAGTTCTTATCTTTCCCAAATCTGAAATTGTTATTACCCAGAACTAGGTAGTCAAGGCTGATTTTTACTTTTATCTTTAAAATATCAAAGCAGTCCCAAGTTTTTTATTTTTATTTTAAGTATATCACTCTAGCATTTTAATGAAAAAGAAAAACACTCTAGGGTATATTTTATGGTAGTCATAACTCAGCAACTTTACATCTTTTGTCACTTACATGTTACTGATTCCCTTGCATGAGATGTGGCTATTTTGCCTGACTACTCTGGTACATTGTGTAGAAATTGAAGTTCTTATCTGTAAATTATCTGGATCATTACTTACCTTATTAGCTGCCCAACTAAAGTTTGCAAAACAGGAAATGGTAGTTTTTCTGGTATTTGATGACAATGAGAGATTTGGTTGCATTTCGTAGTGCAGCAGCGAGATGGAGGGATTTCTAAGTTTGCCTTTGTGTTTCTTCTAGGCTCTGTTTATAATTTTAGACAGATGAGCCAGTGTTAAGGTGCTACTTCAGAGACTAAATTCAAGAAATCAGATAACACTGTGCCAAGGTAAACTTTCTAGATGCTAAGAACCGATTGGCCCTCCGGAGAATAATATTCCTTTGATACCTCACTCCTGATAAGTTTCATCCATTAACCTCAGCTTCTCAGGAATCCATGTAACTCATATGCTAGACGTAGCTATAGTGTATGGTATGCATTATATGTCAAATCCTATGGTTTGGCTCAAAGGTTGGCTAATTGCAGCTGGAGTTCCCTGCTAGACTGCTAACTCAGTACCTCACCACTCAAAAGTTTCTTGTCTTGAGGCAAAGGAAAATGTTCTTTCTGACATTGCTAATTCAGCAGTTGGACAACTTAGCCAACAAACAGAGCTGAATTAGGGAGGTCTGTCAGATGTCCATAGACCTCAATGACAAAAGGCAAGATGATCTGTGATTTAAAAATGAATGAGTTTAAACTAGTCTAGTTTGGTATTAACAAAAGGAAATTGCCTGACACAAGGGAAGGATTTACAAAGAAATGCCAATAAGTACTTCAGGATTTTCCAAGGAATAATATCCAGTCATGAAAGGAGCGAGAGTGTATAGATTTATAAAAGTCTGCTATATTTTGTATCTTTAATGTAAAAAAATTAATGAACCTCAAGCACTTAATGGATGATTAGTTATACCATTAGAGGGAAGAATTAGGGGACTGAAAACACAAAATAACAGGCCACTCTCAAGATCATTTGTATTTAGAAGTTTGTTCAGATACTTTGCTCTTTTCTGGCTCTGGCCTCCTTCTGGCTCAGCCCAGCTATGGAGCAGAGGTGGACTAGTCCATAGAACAGATATCCTCTGGTGTATAATCTGACACCGACAATACTTTGGATTTGCCAGCTGGCAGAATAAATTATTTATTAATTTGCTGATTTAACTGCAAAGCACTTCAATTGTTTTGGTACCAAAGGCTGAATCTGAACGCTTTACAGAAAGAACAGAGTACAGTAAAATTTCTGTAGCCAGCCTTCAATTGTATTTAAACATGAGAATGATAAAGTAATGGTCTAAGGCTGCGAAATAATTCTCAATCATGTTAAGAACCTGTTCAGGGGTGGGGGAAGAAAATATGTTATAAAAAAACCTTAGCATATAATAGAGTCCATCATGGAACATAATTGTCGCTCTATGTTTTAAGTATTTAAATTACCTGTCCCATTGAGTTTTGATCTTGGTTTGTTTTGTTGGGTGATAAGGAGGAAAGTGTACTTGTTACCCTGCAGTATCTTTTTAAAATCATAGGAGTGCAATTTTTGAAGCTGAGTTTTTAATGATTGTGAAGACAATATAGAGAATTTGAAACAACCAGTGTGTTTTATATTGCCAAAGTACTTACTGATGACTGACCACATTGTACTGTGAAGAATCGACTTACCTGCATTGGATCAGAGCCAAATACATGCAATCCATCAGTTCAGAGAAAGCAGGAGAGCATCTGCCATGGCAGTGCACAGAGTATTGAGCTCTTAAAAACCCTGAGAAAGATTAGGAATTTAGAAAGTAAAGGGGAGGTTGACTATTGAGTCCTTTAAAAATATAGATGTCTATATATGTACTCTGAATATCTTAAAAGCTTGATTTAAAAAACAAAAACAAAATATTGAGATTGCCTGGATTCCCTTTGGAGAGGGAATGGAGAGTTATGGCAGTGGAAAAACCCTAGAAAGAAAAGAATATGGTTTATATAAGATGGTGGAAGGAAGGCCAGCCACACATCTTGGCATTTATAAACTGCTTGATCATGTGCTCCAAGGGGGGGTGGGGAGTCAAATAGTCTCCCAAAGACCAAGCCTTCCAAGCAAAAGTATTTAGCTAAAGTGAGTCTATTTTTATGGAGAGGGCTGACATAAGACAAGACATCTGCTCTTGAAGGTGGGGAGCCACTACTGCCGTTGCTTAAATGATAAACGTTAGGGAGATTGTCTTGAATTTTGATAACAAAATATTTTAAAATCTATATTTTTAGCCTCCCCAGCATGTACTTATTTACATTAGAAAGAAAAAGGTGAGGGTTTCTCAGATCAGAGCTCAGGGAGCTGTGTAAATTTGATAGGAAATCCGTGTACTATACCTGTGGCAACCATAGGACTTTTGCTCTGCTTCAATTTCAATTGTTTGCTCCGAGGAGAGAAGTTCTTGGAATAGCAGGTGTTAGAAAATTCAGGTTATTCCCCAAACATTTGCTTGCCAGGGTCTCATTTCATAACATCTGGTCCTGGGTAAAGTTTTCAAGTGATGTAGGGAACAAAATTGGTTTTTCCACTGTGTTATCTGGTTTTGCCAGATCACGAAAGAAAGAAAGAAAGAAAGAAAGAAAGAAAGAAAGAAAGAAAGAAAGAAAGAAAGAAAGAAAGAAAGAAAGAAGAAAGAAAGAAAGAAAGAGAAAGAAAGAAAAGAAAGAAAAGAAAAGAAAAGAAAAGAAAAGAAAAGAAAAGAAAAGAAAAGAAAAGAAAGAATTAAGTCGATGTGCAGAGTTTGCGTTTCTTGCATGGGGCTTATTGGGTCATTCAGCCCAACCCTGCAGTCATAAATTCCTACCTCTATGTTCCTGCCAAAGGGTCTTCAGCTTCTGTTTGCACACTCATTGAATGAATGCCTTGCTTAAAGAAAGGCATGTGATACTACAAAATTATAAGGATTTCAAAAAGTGATCTTTGCCTCTCTCTCTTCCTTTTATCCCATCCTCTCCCCTGACTCTGTCTCTCTCTTTCTCTCCTTCCTCCCTTAAGTTCAAAACTTTCTCAGCTGTTACAAGCATATTGTTTCAAATGTGGACCTTGGAGAAAGGAGAGGATCATTCTGAAAACAGAGAATAGAAGATAATTCTGAGTTGATGGGGCCAATGGAACTTTGCTCCACTGCATGGGCAAAAGCGAGTGGTATTTATTGGGAGTGTCAAGGGTTTTAGCGTCCTGAAGGCAGAAATATGAAGTGTTCATTGATAAACTTTATTATTATGTACTAGTCCAAATCTTTTGAAAGTCAGAAGCAGTGTAGGATTTGGTAAGTGAAATGCCACCTGGCAAAATGGAGACAAGGGAGTGGCCTGAGATGGTTTTATCAAGGCAGGAATCTTCAGCCTCATTGTTATACTTAGTGTACCTCAAAATATATTGACATTTAAGAGTGTTCCTTTTCCCTCCTCCATTTTACTTTATCCCTTATCCATCTTTTCTCTCCTGTTGTCCTTTTTAGTACTAGCTTTTTAAACAAGTATTTAGTTTTTATTATATATTTGGTCCTTTGGGACTATGTAATGATTAAGAATTAATTTCATTCTAGATAAACAATGATGTGCTTAATATTTTGTTCTTTTCAACTGTCTTTTGAAGCTATGCTGCTAACCAGGTACAGACCAGAAAGGAGTTGAGCCTGATAGACAGCACCCAGGTCATATAACTTAAGGATGACATTGATGTCATGTTGGTGACTCTTCTTCATTTGACCAAGGCCAACATCATGCTCTTACCTCTATCCATTCATCTCTGGCTATGGGAGAAACACTATCCTTTGGGTGAGCCAATGAGGCCAGGAGGATCAGAGGGTTCTAGCCCATGGGCAACTATAGGAATATCTCTGTGATAAGCTCATTCATAGGACCGGCTCCAGCTATGGTAGCCAAAGAAAATCTGTCTAACTAAACATTTTAGTTCATAAGAGTTGGTAGAAGTTTAGCTGAAGCTAGTGTATAGACATCAACTACAACCAAAGCTAATATAGCCTGAGTTTCCACAGGAAGCTGAACTGTTCAGAGTGTTTATTTATCTGAATGTTGCCAATCCGTATAGTCACGCTTTCTTATTGTAGCTTTATTCTAACTTTTAGAGATGTTGGTCCCTGTTCATAGGTACAGCCTGTACCAAAGCTGTGAGTCACTGCTCACTTCATTCTGCTCCTTGGTCATGCATAGCAAGTCTAAAAAGGAAGACATGGGCTGGGGAGTTATTTATTCCCTATGCTTCTACTAACTAGCCTCGAGATCTTAACCGTTCTGTGCCTCAGTGTTCCCATCTGTAAAATGGGGATAGTGTTAATTGCCCTACCTACCTCACAGGGTTGTTGTGAGGATAAATTGAGACAATGAATGGAAAGTACTTTGATGAGTAAGTGCTATGCAAATTGTATGAAATGGAAATAATCATGTTAAAGGCAATGGAATGGGCATTGGCAGAAGGGTTAATGGGATTGTCTAGTCCTTTCTCTGTGTGGCTTAAACCCAGGTTGCCATTGCTTTATACATTTCCACTTAGCACAGATTTGTAATTATGCATGTAATAAAGCACAGCCTTATCCAACTTGGTGTCTTGTGTGTTTTTGATGACTTTCAATTTTGTACCTATTGATTTCTTTTAAAAAATGTATTTTATTGATTTTTTTTTTACAGAGAGGAAGAGAGAGGGATAGAGAGTTAGAAACATCAATGAGAGAGAAACATCCATCAGCTGCCTCCTGCACACCCCTTACTGGGGATGTGCCCACAAACAAGGTACGTGCCCTTGATCGGAATCGAACTTGGGACCTTTCAGTCCACAAGCAGACGCTCTATCCACTGAGCCAAACCGGTCTCTGCTATTGATTTCTAAAAATAAAATCGGGGGAGCAGTATATCAGGGTCAGTGGAGGATAGTATAAAAGGCAACTGCAAATTCCTACTAGCAAGCTCACTTCTGAAAAAGATTTATTAACTGTTTAATTATTTTTACATTTACAGATTCAGTAATACTTTTTAAAAAATATATGTTTATTGATTTCAGAGAGGAAGGGGGAGAGAGAAACATCAATGATGAGAGAATCATCGATGAGCTAAGCTATCTCCTGCATGCCACCCACTGGTTATCAAGCCCACAACACAGGCATGTGTCCCAACCTGGAATTGAACTATTACCTCCTAGTTCATAGATCGATGCTCAACCATTTGGTCATGCCAACCGGGTGAGATTCAGTAATACTTTTAAAAAAATATATATTTTATTGATTTTTTACAGAGAGGAAGGGAGAGGGATAGAGAGCTAGAAACGTCGATGAGAGAGAAACATTGACCAGCTGCCTCTTGCACACCCCCTACTGGGGATGTGCCCGCAACCCAGGTACATGCCCTTGGCCGGAATCGAACCTGGGACCTTTCAATCCGCAGACCGACGCTCTACCACTGAGCCAAACCGGTTTCGGCAGTAATACTTTTTACCAAAAAGAGACAAATGAGGGGCAGCTTACAAAATATTCTCAGAGATTCCAGATACCTCATTCATTATGGCTACTTAAATGGTCTTGCCTCATACATTGGTGATACTTTCCTGATGGCATGAGAATTAACTGGGAGCTGTAATTTTCTCTCTTTTTTGAGTTTTTAATGATGGACTTTGATAGACTTTTACCTATGTACTGTCACTTTTTACAAGGAGTAGGGTGGGTGATTGAAATGTTCCTCAATGAATAGTAGGGCTAGTATGAACCTCTTTATGGTATGTTGGAAACCCTCTGAAGTGACCAAGGAGGGAACTTTTCAGGGAGATACTCAAATATACAAACATTTCTTTTATACACCTCTCTAGAAAGCAAACAGAAGCTATACAACAGGTCCTCAAATAACTGTTTTGTTCAACATCACTTGGTTATAACATTGATGAGATGCTTAACTCTAATTTCTGTGAATAAGCCTGAGGTAAATTTGGTTTTGCTATATGTCATTTTACTTAGTCACAGTACCTATCAACGACATTAAGTGAGGACTTGCTATACTTTGAAGTATGATTTTCCTACTTTCTCACTCTATTTTTCCTGCATATGATTTGTTTTCCTCACTCTTTTCCTCTCTTTGTTAGCCAAACCACTAGTAAGGCAGTTTACTATGTGTGCAAGTTTTCATTTAAGAAATCCTTTAGAGATTCCAAGATGGCGGCTGACAGCGGTAGGCTGCAAGATAGTGTGTGAGTGAGAGAAAGAAAGGAGCATGAGTGGATGTGCAGGGAGTGTCTATATTTGTGAGTGAGAGACAGCTATATTCCAAGGAATTGTTGGGGACTGCCTGACGGGTCTCCCCTGGCCGGGCAGCCTTTACTGCTGCTGAAATCTTTCCCAGAGTGGCCGGCTCTGCGCAGAGTCTGCATCACCTTGAAGGGGAGAGTGGTGGTGATATGGAGCCCAGCCTTACCTTCAACTGGGGAGACCTCGGATACCTCCTGGGACCCTACAACCACAATCCCCAGGGACAAGCTGCCTCAGGAATACCAAGACTCCAGCCTCTCCGACCTCTGGTAGCCTAGAAAGTCTGTCCAGGAGGAGAAAAAGCGGCGTGAGTAGGCTGATGACCCTTGTCTTTCTCACAGAGCAGAGAGAAGGAACAGCTGAATTGATTAATATCCACCTGGAACTGGCAAATTAAACACAGCTGGTGAGAAATCCGTGGATGGTAAGAAAATCCGTGGACAGATAGGTCAGCTTTCGCCTAGGGCCATGGTGGACAAACCACGGCTCGCGATCCACAAGCGGCTCTTTGGCCCCTTGAGTGTGGCTCTTCCACAAAATACCACGGCCTGGGCGAGTCTATTTTGAAGTGGCGTTAGAAGAAGTTTGTTTAAAAAAAATGGCTCTCAAAAGAAATTTCAATTGTACTGCTGATATTTGGCTCTGTGGACTAATGAGTTTGCCGACCCCTGTGTTAGAACACTCAAGGGGCCAAAAAGCCGCATGTGGCTCCCAAACAGCGGATCGCTCACCACTGGCCTAGGGAGAGGTGAGATCTGGGGTCCAGGCTGAAGGGAGAAATGCACATAAAATGCACGTGAAAAGTGCGCGGGGGAAGCCACAGTCTCAAAGGACGACTGCGCCCCACAAAAATATGCGCTGTTGGGGTAAGTGTAGCCCTCAAATGTGGAAGGGGGTCCACAGGGCTGCGGGCAGAAGGAGGCTATAGAAATTAACCCATGGCAGGGCTGGGCATAGCAGGGCAGTCTGGAGTTCTGCCAGTGTGCTGGCTGTGGAGTGCCAAGGGGAAAACTGTGTGCATCCTGTGGCTTTTTCTTTTTCTTTTTTAAATACTTGGCTCTGATTACTAAGCCCAGTACATAGGATCTTCTAATAAAAAAACACTCGCCGAGACTGCACGAGAAATCTGTTTTTGTGGAACCTGGAAAATGGAGAGTGCAGAAACGAACAGAAAGCCAGGTTTGGGGCAGTCCATCCCTCTAACCCAGCATTTAGTGAGGCAGGGAAAGCCATCTAAAAGCTGTTTAAGGGAGGGGACTTTTAGCCTGGGATATCAATACAGAAACACTGCCACCCAGGGGTTGTATCAGTAATTGACTCTTGTAGTGAATGCAACTAAAGACAGGCTGAGAAACAGAGTCCCCAACTGCTTGAAAAAAAAGGATTGTGCCTTATGACGCAGAGGAACTTTAAAACACAGGGAATTCCAATTCTGGGCTGCCTACCTGACAGGAAACAGACCTGCCAAACAGAACAGTAGAGAAAGTGAATGACCTTCACTATTTCACATTTTTATTTTTTTATCTTTTACTTGGGAAACTAATTTTTTTCTTTCTTATTTGATTTTACCTTTTTAAAAATTTTTATTTTTGTTTATAATTACTACTAGAGGCCCTGTGCACGAAATTCGTGCATAGTGGGGGAGCGGATAGTGGTGTCCCTCAGCCCACCCTGCACCCTCTCCAATCTGGGACCCCTCTAGGGATGTCCAATTGCCCGTTTAGGCCTGATCCGGTGGGTTTGGGCCTAAACGGACTGTTGGACATCCCTCTCACAATCCAGGACTGCTGTCTCCCAACTGCTCACCTGCTTGCCTTCCTGATTGCCCTTAACCGCTTCTGCCTGCCAGCCTAATCACCCCCTAATCACCCCATGCCAGCCTGATTGATGTCTAATTGCTCCCCTGCTAGTCTGTTTGCCCCCAACTTCCCTCCTCTGCTGGCCTGGTCACCCCCAACTGCCCTCTTTTGCAGGCCTGATGCCTCCCAACTGCCCTCCCTTGCTTGCCTGATCATCCACAACTGCCCTCCCTTGCAGGCCTGGTTCCTCCCAACTGCCCTCCCCTACTGACCATCTTGTGGCAGCCATTTTGTGTTCATATGGGGGAAGGATCTTTGACCACATGGGGGCAGCTATCTTGATCTTGTGTGTTGGAGTGATGGTCAATCTGCATATTACCCTTTTATTAGATAGGATATTGGCCTGATGCATGGGTGGGGGCCAGCTGGTTTGCCCTGAAGGGTGTCCTGGATCAGGGTGGGGGTTCTCTTGGGGTGTAGGGCGGCCTGGGTGAGGGGCCTGTGGTGGTTTTCAGGCCAGCCACACCCCCTGGTGACCCAAGCGGAGGCCCTGGTATCTGGAATTTATTTACCTTCTACAATTGAAACTTTGTAGCCTGGAGCGGCCAAACCTTCTGCTTGCCTTGCTCCGTGGCTGCTGCCATTTCTGTTTGGCTTTGTTTACCTTCTATAACTGAAACTTTGTAGCCTTGAGTGGAGGGTTAGGCCAGCTAGGGCAGGTGGAAAGCTTGACTTTTTCTGTTGCCTGGGAAACCCAAGCCTCCCTCCTGCTCTCTGTGGCTGCAGCCATGTTGATTGACGTTAATTTGCATGCTTACTCTGATTGGCTGGTGAGCATGGCTTATGGATGTAGCAGAGTGATGGTTAATTTGCATATTACTCTTTTATTAGGTAAGATTATTACTACTATTATTTTACCTTTTAAAAAGTTTTAAATTATTTTTTCTTTATTTTATTTTGGGATTAGTGTTTTACATTCTATTTTTATTTTTTCTTTAGCATTATTTTACTCTCAGTTTTTCCTTTATACCACATTCTCTTCCTCATGTTCCCCTTTGCCCTGTTTTTCTTACCCTGTTACTGCTTTAGTTTTTCCCTATCTTTTCCTTTTACTCCCCGTTAAAAATTTATCTTATGCCCTGGCTGGCTTGGCTCAGTGGATAGAGCATCAGCCTGTGGACTCAGGGTTCCTGGGTTCAATTCCAGTCAAGGGCATGTACCTTGGTTGTGAGGACATACTTAGTGGGGAGTGTGTAGGAGGCAGCTGATCGATGTTTTTCTCTCATCAATGTTTCTGACTCTCTCTCCCTCTCCTTTCCTCTCTGTAAAAAATCAATAAAATATATTTTTTAAAATAAATAAAAATAAATAAAAAATTATCTTACACATATATCTAATATCTGCTACCCTGCTTCAAGACCATACACAGTTTTATCTTTCTTCACTATCCAGGTTTACTTTTACTTCCCTTTTTGGTTTTGTTTTGTTTTTTTTCTTTTTTAATTATTTGC